ACAAGAAACACCTTGGGAAGTCAGTCCCAATCTGCCTGCCACTTGCTGAATGAAGAGAATTTATTGTGGACACGCTGCTTTTGTAGACAGTAGCTGGGGATGAACGTCAGTCATCCACCCATTCGAAACAAGAGGTGAAGCAGAGAGACATGTTCTTGAATTTCAGGGACTCGCAGATGATTGGATGGAACTTGGGTAGGTTTTTCCCTCTGAGAGGGGGCAACAATTGGACTGGGTGCCTGAATCCAATGGTATCTTCTGCTCCTGACATTGAAAGGAACCTTGGCATAATGCTGCTCTTTGGGACACAAAGTCTGAACCAAGTGAATGGCTGAACAACAATAACAACACAAAATCATTAAAAGTTCACTTCAAAATGGTCAAGGGTACAGTTGTTTTTTAAAAATTAAGAAGGATGGTTTAAATCAGGTTTTGAAAATTGGTTTTGAAATTTCAACGATACACCACCCCTGTATTTTTTTTTTCCAACTTCCTATTCTATTGTACAGCCTGGAATTTCCTGCTGGTTTTTCATCCATGTACTGGCCAGCTCTGACCCTGATAAAGTGTAGGGGCCAAATGCACCTCAGTCTATTCCCTTAAGCAGGGTCCTCACCAAGTACTGCCTCCTGCCCATGGCCCTATTCACTTTCATGGGGGCAGGCCCTTCAGCAGACCCTCCTAGATGTCCACAGAGTACTGGCAAAATCATACTTGCAAGGCCATCTCTGATATAAGTCAATGGTGCACCATATTTTTATAAGAGTTGTGACAGCACTTTGAATTGGACTTGGAAACTTATGGACAATCAAAGATAGATGTTACTCTAGCCTAAAGGGTTTGTTTTGGTAGCAGTCTCCCCACTATATTGTGGAGTCTGAGTTATCTTTAAAAACAACCCAAGATAGAGTACTTTGCTGTAGTGTAACTATGCGGAAATGGGTTGCTCTCACCAGGTCTTCCCAGACCAGGTAAGGCAAAAGACCTCCCTAGATCACAGCCTCCACTTCATTTTCTAGCAGAAGTTGCAAATCTGGGAGGATTCCCAACTCAGAGACCTGCTATTTCAGAGGGAGTGTGACCTTATCTGGAACCAAAAACCTGTCTCACTTGCTACAATTTAGTCTGAGCTTCTTTTTCCCCATCCAGTCCCTCACAGCTTCCTGATACTGATTCAAGACTTACATGGCATTTCTTCTCGGGCCTGGTTTGACAAGGTACAACTGAGTGTTGTCATTGTATTTTTTTATTATTATTATTATTTTGGTTTATATGCTATCCCATTTCTCAAGGCTTCAAACAGCTTACATATAATTATGTTAAAACATAAAAAGACAACAGCATAAGCATAATCCGAAGGCTGTGATGTGTCACCATTCGGGCAGCAGAATCTTCAGGCATCTCCAGATGTCTCTCTTGGAAAATATACTACAGAGAGGAGATGGTCTAAATATCTAATGGTAGGCGGTTCTGTGGGCAGGGGGGCATCATTTGAGAAGGCTCGAGCAAGTCCCTGAGAAGGCTCATAAAACTGGCATTACCTTATAATTGGGATCCTCAGCAAACTATTAGATTTCACAGTGGTGCCCTCATCTCCAAACCCTTGCATAGTGAATAATCAGTGTTACTGAATGCCATCAAAGGAACTAATAGGAGTAGGAAGGGTACACTTCCCCTCCATCCGAATACAGTAGCAATGAAGTTCATCCACAGGAGTGACCAGTGCTGTTTCTGTCCTAAGCCTGAGTCTGAATCTTGACTGGATCTAGATAATCTACTTCTTCCAGGATCCTCTATAGCTGATTTTCTACAATCTTCTCACCACCCTTCCATAGAAAGAATAAGTTGGAAACTGGCTGGAAGTTGTTTGGTAGAACTGGATCAAGAGATGGCTCCTTTCAAGGCTGGTGTACTCTTGCCTTTCCTCAAAGGGGCATTGGCCACATCTTGAATCCAGTTGCACATCCAGTTGCACATCCAGAGGAGAGAGATGGGGCATGGCTCTAGGGTACAAGTGATGGTGGTCATATTACAGATGCCCCTATTTACTTCCTCAAGTCCCACAAGCTCAGTAGAATCCCAGGTCACAATGCAAGGTACCATCCTTCTTACTTTACCTGGCCCTGTTTAATAGTATCAGAGCCTGAGCAAATGCAAGCTATTTTTTCTGCAAAGAAGCCCACAAAGTTATTGAGCTGACCTGTAAGTGCTGTCCAAACAGATGGTCCAAAGACTATTACAGAGATCAATTAACTAATTAGAGTAGACAATATATGAACCTCAGGGTTGAATCGTTGAGTGTTCTCTTAGCTTGGTGTTTTCTACAGAAGTTTCATTACCAGGCCAGGTAACCTCATCAGTGCATGGGAGAGTTTGCTGGCTGTTTATAGAGAGAACTTGCTCTGCCAGTCTTGGCTGTGGTATGGTTTCTTTCTTGAGTGGGGTATTGCTCCTTCCCAGATTGTTAATCTGGTGCTGTTTCCTGCTTCTCTGGGTTTTGGAGGCTGGAGGGGGTTGTTCTAGACTATTTGTTTCCTTCTTAGGCTTTTACTTGTATCTTCTAAATGGTATGGAGATGGGACTTATCTCTATGTGTGTGCTGATGGCTGATTTGTCAGAAGGACAAATCTCATACCTTGGTGCCCACCAAGTTCTTTGCCTTTCTTGATTTCTTCTTTTAAAAAAAATTAAAAAGGGGAATCTGACATGATGTAAAGCAAAGCACCATCCTTCAACATCATCTTTATTTCTAAGAATTTCTCTGTCCCTGTGGGCTGCTTTGACCACTAGAACAAATGGCTAAAAATATATGAGGGACAAGTCTTCATATGTTGTCCCTATATCTGTCCCACCTGCCCTTTTATTAATAAAATGACTCACTATGTTTAAGAGATAAAGGAACCTTCCTTCCTTCCTTCCTTCCTTCCTTCCTTCCTTCCTTCCTTCCTTCCTTCCT